GTTTTTATAATGCTCTTGTGGATCTGTGCTGTAAGCATAACAAAAAGCCAAGTAGTCTGTGAAAAGCAGCCATTGGAAATAAATACAATGACCTTTGATAGCCAGCACTTTAAATGTTCTAAGGATCTCTAGAACAAGGGCATTCAACTCTTAACTAGGACTGTAAATTAGGACGAAACTAGGCCAACCTGGGCAATTCAGCCATGAGAATTAATCTTTTTGAACCAAAAGTAGGGTTTGCTTTTCTCTCCTGACTTTTTATTCTTTATTTTGTGCTTTCTGATTCCTTTAAATATGAGACTTTATGGCAACCCATAAAACTCATCAAGATTCAACTTCCCTTACCATCCCACAAGCAGTGGAGAGTCAACCTGCTCATCTTCCTGAACAGTTCTCACTTCCCAAGGAGGTCCTGGTACCCTGTTGCTATGCAGCAAGAAAACTGGTGCGTCTCATAGTCCCTTCAAACTGAGTCCAATACTTTGCTCAGCCTTACTCACCACAGGACTCCACAGCCTGACCACTCTTCCCACAGCAAGATGCAGATTCCTCTTAATTAGAGCATAAAAGGTCTGAAAAACTCCAATAGCATAACTATTGCTTGGAACGAACATTTTTAAAACGCTCATGTACAGAGAAAAGCTGGGTCAGTACTGAATAAGATAACTTCATGGGTCTAACAGGATGCTACCAAGTGTTTGTTAAATTCTATAGTCTTCTAGCACTTCAAAAGATGAAGAAGGCTTTCAATCTAAATCCTAGTGAGGTAGGGCTTTTGTTTGGGGCAGGAAGTGGGATTTTGTTTTTTAAGTTAAAAAAAAGAAAGAATGGACCTCTTCCTTCCTTCTCCTTAGGACAGAAAGACTGAAGATTTACGTTTAGTCCTCAGAGTTAGCACAGGTACAACACCTCTACTAGAAAGCCCCCTCTCTGAATTTCATCACGCCTTGTTACTTTCAAGTGACAATCCTCATAACTGGTCCTGAAGAAGAAATAAGCACCCCATTCTAGGCAGATTTAAGCTGAAATTGAAATAAACCTGTATTTCAGACTTGACACTTTCAGGTTTCATGCAACACTGCCTGATGAGCAGAGCTAAGACTCAGAAATAACATTTCTGCCTTCTATGTAGTCTCAGTGGGACACCTTTCTGTGCTTTTATAGATGTGTTATCTACATCTCCACGCATTTCGCCTCTGGAGCTAGAAAGATGCTTCAACAAAACTTGATGGACGAGACTGTTCAAGAAGTTGTACCAACACTGTAGAAAGTTCAGACAGCACAAAACCAGAAATAGTCAGTGAAAAGCATGTTTTCCTTCACATAATATGCTGTGTCTCTCACATACACTTTCCTTCTGGTAATCCTTAGGAATACATTGGAAAAGAAGATAACCCTCTGTACAAAGCAGTCCCACAACAAGAAAACAGGTCACGTTTTAGCTGCACACAGCGATGAAACAGAGGAAGACATGACTATGGTACTAAAACCAGCAAACCCACACATGTAACTAAAAACATTCTTTAAAATGCAAAATTCTAGAAAAACTGAGCATAAATTTAGCTATGTAGAGAATTTCTCATAGTTAGGTTCAACTTCTTGCATTTAAAAATGAAAGACCAAAACTTATTACAGAGGATTATCCTGATGACATTATAGTGAATTAATGTCTAATAAAACATGCAGACCAGTCCTTCTGAATAAGATGGTTCTATCTTTCTTCCCTATAGCTTTCCTCATTTGAAAAGATAACAACTATTTTCATAACCATTTAGCAGGCCAAACTCTTCACTGAAGTTGTACTGCACCAGAAGATGTTCCATCTAATACTCCCTAGTGTAAGCCAATCATCTGCAAACCACCCAGTAGTAAAGGCAGTGACTCTGGTTACTGACAGTCTTGTGATCAACTGCACCACCCCATGTCTGAGTAAATGTGTACAGTGGTTTGTAATTAGGCTTTTAACAAGAACGGGATCTAATAGGTTTGGTGGGATTCCTGGTGAACCACTGCAGATTTAACCACACAGAAAAACCACACTCAAAAGCATAGAACTGCTTTCTCATGATACCAATAAGAGCACATTAATTACATAAATTAATGAATGAAGAGGCAAGACAGCTTCCAGTGTGTCATTTTCAAGTCCTCTTATATTGGATTTATTCTACAAAATTAATCTGAAGTGAAAATGCACCTGGATCACTTCCGACCTTTGCGAGATCTCTCTGTACGAATGCCTGAGCTCAGAATGATGCTTGTTTTTAGGATTTCACCTTCTCTTCATTTACAAAATGAACAATTGTTTTTCGCCCCCAAAAAACCACTGATCCAATTGATGACACTTAATTGTACAACCAACATTAAAAAAAATAAAAAGCCACACTACTGTACCTTTAGTTATGTTAGGGTTGAGGGGGGGGGTATTAAATAAGTACAAAATATTTGCCTTTTTCTATTCCTAACTCCTTGAAAACTGGTGCTTTACTAGAAGACGTGGGGGGACACTGGAGGTACAGTAGTAGGCTGGCACAGCCCCAGTGCTGTCTTGTGTTATTAGTACAATTTATGCTTCCTTCAGGAGGCAGTGCCAGAGCAACTGTGTAAGCGAAATGATTTTCATTCCAAACGAAGAACAGGAAGGATAACCTCAAGCAAATATGCTGAATATTAACTATGTGTTCAAGAACAGTGCTTTTGCTTTTAAATATATTCACCCACAAACATCCCTCTCCTGAGAAAATAAGAAGTGAGTGTCCTCAACTTCCAAAGGAGTAAGTGGGAACTGGGCATACTTCATGGCAACTATTATGAAGAACTTAAAATCCTGCAATCCTGTGAGGTTTAACTTACCTTAACTATGTCTATAAATTTTAGGCAAATTAAAGGTTTTTAGATCATTCTTTTACAATTTGTTTATTCAGTTTTTTTATTTTTAAAATATTCTAGATACTTGAAAGAGTTTAGCAATAAACCTAAATCAAACATAGGCAGGAATGTTTATCAGGCTGAATATATCCTTACCTCTCCACTGTACAAAACCGTGCAACTCCACCATTCAGAATGATGAAACCACAAATCTTAAGGGAAAGACTCTGCTCAGATCTATTTTAAATCAGTAACAAAATTCTCAATGTACTCATGGATTTCAAGTGGCAGTGGAGACAAAAGCTAATGTGAATGAGTTCCCTTCATCAGTTAACAAAACAGGAAAGTCAACATACTCAAACACTCTGGTATCACACAGTAGTATGATGGAGGTTTTAGGTACCAAAAGGCATAAATTTGGCTGTTCCTTATTTGGTAAATTCTTATCATGTAGTAACTTAACATTGTTTTGTACTTTAGGGGCTCAACACTGAACGCAGGAATATTATTAATCATGAAAGTAGGATAAAAATCACTTATAGCCTACAATAAGAACCAATGAGAATTTTATAGAAAGATGCTGTATTTTAGCATCTTGAACATCAATCATGAAGTGCTGTGAACCATGAAAAAAAACAATGGGAAGGGGTGTCAAAACTTTATTCAGATGAAGCTCTCAATGTATTTAAATTAGAGTGTTTAAGCTCCATTTAACAGTCTGTGCATTTTACAGCACAGATCACACTTCAGTTGCTAATGCTGCTGGGAGGATTCATTTCTGTTTATTGCGGAGACACTCCATTTAGGTGGCTTAAACGTTAGCACATACCCACAGTTCATTCCAGGAGAGACTGCAGCTCATGCAGCAGCTCCAATACATATAACCATGTAAGCTCTGGAATAGCACAAGACAACACTGTACAGTTTGTGGAGCTGCAGGAACGTTGGAAAAAAATACCAGACAAAAGAATGAGAACTGGAAACAGCATCTACACAGCATGTAACATTAGGTGATGCAGAGATGGAACATCTTGAAAAAGCTGGCACAGGAAATATGTCTCAAAAATTCTACTGAGACCTATTTCATTGTATCAACCTTAGTCCCAGCAGGGACAAAATCCCAGCAGCCAGACCTGTCTCCACCCGTCTCTGCTATACCTGCTTTTGACAGGTTGAACTGACAGTTCCTTTCTCCATAAGTAACTAGGTTCGGAGAAGGAGTGCAATTTTGAAACAAATCAACGTGTCAGTCTCACTTACTGAGCAGTGGTTAAATTCAGAGAGTAATCTAGTGCACACGAGCTGGATTCCTTGAGAAGACGACTAAGCCCCATGTATCACTATGGCTACCCTCTAGCTGCACTCCAGTTCCTAGTGTTGACACACAAAGATAGTCCTTTGGACAACTCCAAACCACATACACAGTAGGAATGTTTGGATCTAGGGACATGATTAAGTATAACACAATGGAAAATCCCAACTCAAATATGCTGCTCATGGTCCAACCACTTTGCCCTAGTGATGCACTTCTGAGACATATTATTTGCTAATGCAGACACTGCCCACAGGCCCTTCCACGCCAGCCTAGAGCTCTTTCCAGCTCCCTCCTGTGAAATATCCTGGACAGCACAAAAAGGCACATGAAAGAATCTCTTTAAAGGATTTCCTTCTACAAGAATTCTTCATAAACAGAAACTCTCACTCCTTCAGAATTGATAGAATTTTAGTTCTACAAAATCAAAGACATACAAAACAACTTTGCACAACCGTTAAGAATTTACTTGTCAGAAAACCTGGATAAACACTGGACATGTCAAGTCACATGTGCACACAGTACTACGAATTTTCCAGTATGTGAGCCAGCCACCAGCAAAGTGAAAACAGGAAACTGTATGCACACATCTTCTAGCAGGTCACTGTAGAAACAGATCTACATTAATTAGAATCATGTTTTTACATAGTTCACTGCACTAAGAAAAACAAATTCCAAGTAATTCTCAGCAGTCTTACCTCAACTTTATCTTCAGACTAATTATGTAGTGTGCCAAAACACACCTCAGAAAAGGAAATATGAAGTGGCAAAACACCAAGAAAAACACAGAAATATTACAATTACAGAAATATTTCTGACTTACCTATGTGATAAAGTCCTATCCAGTCAGTTGGGTCTACTTCTTCCTTAATATCCCAGAAAATGATGAGGTTCTGAGATTGCCCCAAGGTGTATTCGTACATACTGGCTGTCAAACTAGACCTGCTATCCGAGGTTACTAAATCTGTGTCACTGTTGGCACGCTGCAAGTTCATGTTCTCAGCCATGGGGCCCTGAGATGCCAAACTCTGCAGGTTCTCTGGGCTCAGAGTATACCGGAGCTGTGGGTTGCGGCGGCGCACAAAAAGCAGATGTTCTCGGGCTGAACTGGCCATCTCTTCTCCACTTCTGTCAGTTTACGTGAAGAAGTTGTTGTTCAGAGATCTGTCGTGAAGAAGAAAAATAAGGAAGTGTTAAAGTCAGACAGCAACTTAGTCAAATATTAAATGGAGAGGTGTTAGTGCAAAAATGTTCCTAAATGTTCCTAAAATAGACTGAGTGGAATCTTTTACTTCATTGCTCTATCGCTTCAGCCACCTTAGTGGCTGTACATAAAAAAAATAAGCATGAATTGCTTGAAACAAAATTCACAGTTAACCACACACCAAGAATTAACATTTTTAAGCCAAAAAGCAACAGAAAGGAAAACATCCAAGATCGCCTATCAAGCAAGAAGAGCCACAATAACAATGCTAATTTAAGCCTGGTAGTAGCTTAAAGACTGAAGAGATTATGAACTCAGCTTCCACCAAAGATATATCACAGCAGTATATAATGTAGTTTTACTTAGATATGTTAGTTTCCAATAAAACACTCTGTGCACTGTATGTTTAGAAACAGTGAAGTGTTGATGATACTAACAAGGCTGGACGTATTTCAGTAGAAATATGGTATCACTGCTATAAAATCATTTTGTAAGGATTTTATTTTTTAAGACACAAAACATAGCTTCTGAAATCCTCTATACCATACAAAACCACATGAGACCATTGACTGGGGTACTTTAGACTATGGATATATATTTGGCTTCTCTATGCCATCAGATTTTGTTGTTCTTTTCCATATATCAGAAAACAAAGGCCTTATAAATTCAACAGTTTCTCCTAGCCCTACAGACACAGCAGGTGGTCTTCACCAAATAGGCATGCCAATAACATCACACCATACCTTCAGAAGCAGAACTCGCATCTCTTTATCCATAGCTAAAAGTATTGCCATTTGAAAATAAGCCCTCACATTACTCACAACTTGAGACAAATCATCAGAAAGGAAAGACAAGAATAGCAAAATATTAAAAGAGAGGAACAGCTCATAGGAGCAGAGAATCAGTGAGGGGGAACCTCTTGCGACAGGAGGAGTAGGAAAATTTCCTTATCACACATGAGACGTGACTTTGATCAAAACAGTTTGCCTTTTTCAAAAGCTATAGTTCGTATCAACTCATTGTTTCTCTATTTTACAGAGGAAACAAAACTGTCCTCATCAGGCAAAACCATTTGTCCTCAGAAGAAACCAAATCTTCTGGTTATGTGTTTTTCAGTCAAAACTGGGAAAATGATCTTCCGTACTATATTTCTCTGGAAAAGGACTCACGTATTTCCTCCAAATCCAAATCAAACCAAAGCAGTCCTGCTGCCCACCAATAACTCCAGAGCTCACCAGGAAGAAATTGTGTCCTGAGCTCTTTACATTCTTCACACAATTTGATATCAATATTTCAACGTTTCTGGCTAGATCACAACTTAAGCAGTGACAACATCAATTATTTCATTATCATATCTTCTCTGAAGGATGTATACTGCAGGAAACATATCCTTATTTTTATACATACAAATAACCACATATAAGAAAATTGTGTGTATTAAAAAAAGCAAAGGTACCTGTGTATTATTCTTGAGCTTTCTCCTTGGTGTCATGGCCTTCAGCTATCATATGCAGATCTATTTGTTCTCTTAAAATAACTCAAGCACTGTCAGACAGTGCTGAGTGTCACCTGCTATTACATTCCTTGTTTCAAGCAAGGAAGCCTATAATACAGAATTAGGTAGAGCCCATAAGAAGCGAATGGATTGGTTGGCCACTTCCATAGTATTATAATTGTAATTAGATCTACAGTACACTACCACTATCAATCAAACATCTGACAACTGGTTTATTAAACTGAAACCTCTGCCTCTAGAGGTCAAAAAACATTTAATTATGAAGAAGAAAAACTAAGTAGAGCACTTGGGAGATCCCAAGGATTATAATTCAGAAAAAATGGGATTTTTCAAAAGCAAAAAAAAAAGGGAGAGAATTTTCATATTTTGAGGTTTTTCTTTTCCTGTTCATTCCTCTTTCCCCACATGATGAATCTTCAAAACCTGTCTCTTTCCTTGACTTCTATTTCCTATCACTCATATTCAGTTTTCTTTTAGTAACAGTGTATGCACTCTCCCAGTGCACCACGAATTCTTCTGCCATTTTTCAGCTTTTAAAACGGAAGGTGTTTTGAGATATTAAAAACTAAGAAAGGGGAAAAATAAAGTTCAGCTTATTCAGTTGTATGAAATTCCTCACACACTGTACACAGTTCAGAATCAATATTACTGAAAAGAAAAATTCAGTTCAGTAATTCTACATATGCAGAAGTGACATGGAGATTACCATATTTACCTCACAAAGTACATGACACGGTCTTTCCTGACGTGAGCAATGTTTTGGCTGCATATACAAAACGTTATTTTTGGTGCTGGATGTCAGCGGGATTCACTAACTCCTTTCTCTCTCATGTTCCCATGCACTCTGCCTCTGACACCAGTGCAAGTAACTGAAAGAAAATGTTGGCATAATGGGCCTTAAATGAGAGTCACGGAAGTCAGTATCTTGCTTCCCTATGCAGAGTACTATTCACTGATTTGAAAATCCTGGATGACTTTGAGACCAGAAGTCTCAAAGGGCAGTGGACTGGGTACCACTGTCCTCTGCACAAGGAGATCAGGCAAGTTTAATTCACAGACAGACAGCGTGCCATTAAGTTAATTTTCTTCTATCCCACAACTAGAGGTTTATGTCATTTTGAACTGCTGCATCCAATGGTTTTACAGCAGTAAAATCACTGCAAACTAAGTGTCATGTAGCAGGGTTACAAGTTAAAATTTTAATAGGAGGGATAAAAATGTTTCCTTCGACTGCAGAGCAGTACACTGTACCCAGGGCAGCACTGACATTTGTTGGAACATACTGAAAGTTTATATGTGGCAGATGGACAAACTCATCCATGTTTAAGAACACATGAGAACTAACTTGTACTAGCTAGGACCATCTGACAGTTAGAGAGATGAGAACAGACTGAGAAAAAAGTTAAAAATCATAAATCCAAGTGGCTTAAAGTCATGATTCAAACAATGATCCCAACAAATGACATAAAGCAGTTGAAATGATTTGCAATGAACAAGCCAAACTAGCATGTAAATGAGCTCCTATTATGGAAAAAAATACCTCAAAAAATACAGGACCGGTAAGCTTTTAGAGTGTTTTCTAAATTCAGTGTAAAGGTTATAAAGGGGCCCTAGTGTCAGACAGTACTCTGCTACATAGTATCCAACAGTAAGCTGAGAGGTTAATTAAGGAGATTTGTAAAGACAGAAATATGAGATTCACATTGTAAAAGGTGAAAATACAAACCCCAAACCATAAGGAGTGATGGAAGGGAAAAAAGAGCCACTGCTTTCATTATGTGCAAGGGATGAAACCTACACAGTGCCTTCCTGCCTACAAAAGGAACTGTTTATCTGACATTTGGTCAACAACTCCCAATGTCTGGCATTAATCACATACCTAACAGTACACTAATGCATACATCCTACCAGACCTGAAAATAAGAATTATCCTCCCACCTTCAATTCCTGCAAAGCACTCCTGAGGCAGCATTTGGATCCAGACTATACTGTAAAGACAATACCCATGATTAGCTGTGTGCACCTTCCCTGCCATGAAGGTTTGGCTCATCAGGCTGAACATGATGAGAGCAGCAACTTCACTAAATATCAGACCAAGCTGGCAAGGCACATAATTTCGTGAAGGCAAGCTGAAACATAGAAACTGAATCAAAAGCATAAGGAAAATACAGGCATTTGAGAAACCAGCAGATACTAACTTCAGCAAAGTAGTTACTTGAAAAGTGAAACCTGTACAAAAGCTGCTTATCTGTATCACAGTTTCCTTCAATACCTGACAAGAAGCTTAGAGAGAAATAGGACTGATTTCTTCTTAACCTCTGAATGGCACAGGTTCAGGATTACTTCTAACCATACTCCTCAATTACAAATCATAGAGGGACCAGAACTGGGAAAAAGTTCCATTTAATATACAAAACACAGTTAAGTAAAGTCTCCTTGCCCAGTCTTCTTCACTGAATGAGACTGAAAAGGACATCAAACCATTTCTGACATGCAGTCAAACATTCATGAATGAAAGTCCAGGAGTTCCAGCACAGGAAGAACCAAAAAAATCCCACCCCACCATGCAAAACAAACCAGAGTTCACACACTGCCGTGTTTATCTTACTCATAACAGTGATTCATTTCTTGTTTATGTTAGTGATCTTTTATGTGGCTTACAGGTCTTGCTAACAACCTCTTCCCACAGCACTTACTGTAAACCAACGATATAGGACTGGCCCTGAGAGCACGAGCGGTCACCTGCTGGACCAGACCTGCACCCTGAGCGGTGCAGGGAAGCAACAACTGACACCTATCACTGGGGGGGTGGATTCATGTCACTGCACCACACCACCAGGTTACCACAAGAGGAGCGAGGTGAGGCGGTGGGCAGTATAGCAATCACCAGTCATGGCTGGGCACGGAGAGTGCTCTGCACCTGAGCATCCCTGTCGCTGTACATCAAATGGGCAGATGGTCCAGACCAAATTTTCTCCCCATTCACAGAATCACTTGGGCTGGAAAAGACCTTTAAGATCCAGTCAACCATAAACCTAACACTGCCAAGTGCACCACTAAACCATGTCCCTAAGCACTACATGCTTTTTAAATACCTCCAGGACCAGTGACTCCACCGCTTCCCTGGTCAGCCTGTTCTAGTGCTTGACAACCATTTCACTGAGGATATTCTTCCTAATATGCAATCTGAACCTGGTCCCCTGGGGTAACTTGAGGCCATTTCCTCTTGTCCTATTGCTTCTTATTTGGGAGAAGAGAACATCACCCACTTCAACCCATCCTCCTTCCAGGTAGTTGTAGAGAGCGATAAGGTCTCCCCTGAGCCTCCTTTACTCCACGCTAAACAGCCCCAGTTCTCTCAGCCACTCCTTACAGGATCTGTTCTCTGGGCCCTT